CAAAATTCAGCAGGATCTGAGACATATTTTAATGCGCTGGCGTACACATCCTATATGTATTATAGCTGATCTTGTCAAAATGTACCGACAAGTTCTTGTACATAAAGATGACGCTAATTTCCAACGGATTTTGTGGAAATCAAACCCAGATATGCCAATCCAACACTACAGACTAATTACTCTTACCTTTGGAACTGCTTGTGCTCCATACTTAGCAATTAAATCATTACAGAGACTCGCTGATGAAGAGAAGACGAAGTATCCAATTGCAGCTGAAATAACAAAAAATGATTATTACGTAGATGATTTAATGACGGGCTGTGACACAGAAAACGAGGCTATAAATATTTACGAAGAAATAAATTTAGTTATGAACAGTGGAGGCTTTCAACTACAGAAGTGGTCTAGCAATAGTAAACAGTTATTACAATACATAGGATAAGACAAACATAGCATAGAGATATCAGTACCCATAAAGAGTGACAACATGTTGAAGGTGTTAGGAATTTGTTGGAATAGACTAACAGACAGTTTCGAATATACGATTGACTTACCCGAGATAAAAGGAGCTGTTACGAAACGGTAAATGTTGTCAGACATCGCTAGACTGTATGATCCCCTAGGATGGATTGCTCCAGTAGTAATTCGGGCCAAGATTATTATACAAAAGGTATTAAAAGCACAGTTAGGTTGGGACGATGAATTACCCGAGGAGTTATTAGAAGAATGGTTGAGATACAGACATGAACTGACAGAAACGAAGGTAATAAGTGTTTCGAGATGGTTGAAATGTACAAAAGGATGCAGACTGGAACTACACGCATTTTCAGATGCATCTTCTTCTGGTTATGCGGCAGTAGTGTATCTTCGAGTTGTGGACCAATTAAACCAAGTACACTCATCCATTGTGTCGGCGAAAACAAAAGTAGCTCCAATAGAAAAGGAACTTTCAGTGCCCAGGCTGGAATTATGTGGCGCAGCTTTAGCGGCTAAGCTATTATCTGAAATTTCCCAAGTAATGAATATTCCTAAACAACAACTTTATGCTTGGACAGACTCTACAATAGTTCTGGCGTGGCTGAAAGGAGGTGCTTCGCGATGGACTACATTTGTAAGCAACCGACTATCGGAGATATTAACCAAATTAGACTATGAACAATGGAGTCATGTAACGACGGATATGAATCCTGCAGATTGCGCCTCACGCGGCTTACGACCTATAGAATTACAAGAGAATGCTTTATAGTGGCATGGACCGAACTGGATATATGATGTAAACCTGAAAAAAAAACACGACGAGATACCTGAAACAGAAGAAGAACAAAAGATTAAATCAATGAACATTATACAAGACAAATATGAAGAATTTGAGTGGAATAAATTTTCAAATCTAAATCGAATGTTAAGAGTTATTTCATGTTGCAAAATAATTTTATATTGGAGAAAACCTAAGGAAGAACGTGATAAATTACCCAAATACATTACTATTCAAAAAATGAACAGAGTTTTACAGATGTGTATAAAACAAGTACAGGAATTTCTTTTTGGAGAAGAGATGAGATATCTAAAAAATAAAAGTTGTGTCACCAAGAAGAGCGCACTTCACACTCTTTATCCGCTTTTGGATCAAAACGGCATTTTAAGAGTGGGTGGTCGCATTGACCAAGCACACTTGAGTTATGATGAACGCCATCCAATCATTATACCTTCTAAGAGTCATCTTACATGGTTGTTAATAACGGATGCACACTACAAAACATTACATGGTGGACCTCAAATTATGTTAAACTATCTTCGCTCAAAATACTGGATTTTACGTGGACGAGAACGAGTCAAAAAATACTACAGAACATGTTTAACTTGTCGAAGATATTCGAACACCAAAACTACTCAATTAATGGGTCAACCGCCTGAAGTACGGCTTACGCCAAGTAAACCATTCAAATTAACCGGAGTCGATTATGCAGGACCCATTAATATTAGATTCTCACCTGGAAGAGGTTCGAAATCTTTTAAAGGATATATATGTCTATTCATATATATTCGTCAAACCAAAATTTATAGTGTGATTAAAATTTATTTTAAAATATATACGAAAATAACATTAAACTTCAATTAATAGTATAGAAAATGTTTTAAAAGACAAAGATATCGAAAGTGTATCATATTACAAGACATAATCAGAGATATATATATAAGAGACATATCATAAGACATATTCCACTATAAACAATAGCATTCCCAAGGAGGGTTGACGTCAGGCAGGCGGCCGGTCGTAAAACTTTTGCCAAATCCTATCGGCAGTACAGAGGATGTACTGCGCCGACCCCGAGTAATTGGGAAATGGGCAGGGAGAAGAAGATATGTCTATTCATATGTATGGTGACAAGAGCAATTCACATTGAGGCAGTAACAGACTTAACATCAAAATGCTTTCTTGCTGCGTTCAAACGCTTTACATCTGGAAGAGGTCATTGCCAAGATTTGTATAGCGATAATGGCACAAATTTTGTTGGTGCTGACAAATTATTACGAGTCTTATTTAACAGTGCTAAATCACAATTCATTCTAGATATTGCTGAAGCTCTCGCACTTAAAAATACAAATTGGCACTTCATTCCCCCTCACGCACCGAACTTTGGTGGATTATGGGAAGCCGGAGCGCGTTCTGTCAAATCACATTTAAGAAAAGTTATTGGTGAGAGTACACTTACCTACGAAGAGTTGTCCACGGTGTTAGCAGAGGTTGAAGCGTGCGTTAACTCGCGTCCATTAACTATATTAAGCAACGATCCTAACGACCCTCTCCCGCTGACACCAGGCCATTTTTTGGTAGGAGAAGCCTTGTTAAACGTTTTACATAAAGATGACAATGTTGTTAATCTTCAAGATAGGTGGCAAATATGTAACAAAATGGTCAGACATTTTTGGGCTCGGTGGAGTACTGAGTATTTAGTGACACTTAACAATAGATACAAATGGACAACCCATAAGGTTGGACCTAAGATAGGTGATATTGTAATTATAAAGAAGGACAATATACCTCCAGCCAAATGGCTCCTAGGTAAAATTGTTAAAACTCACCCAGGTATAGATAATATTGTTAGAGTTGTAACTATTGACACACAAAAGGGTATGTTTAAACGGCCCTATAATAAACTATGTTTCCTACCAACAGATGGTTCTATTTAGTTAGTAGTAGATTGATTGTTATGTTGTTGTTGTTTTTTTTAGATTTTTTTAGATTATATTTTATTCCTATTTTTTGTTTGCATACATGCTAATCGAATTAGCACGGTGGGCGGTGCTAGAGTTTTTTTTTTGTTTTGTTGTTGTAAACATTAAATTTATTAATAATGTAAATCGATGTGCAGCTGATGATAATTGGGAGTTTAATATAGAGCATCTTTATTGTTTACTTTAGTAAGTTTTAGGATAAATGTTGATGTAAGATTATTTTAGTAATTGTTATAAGAACGGAGTTCTTGGTGGGCGGAATGTCTAATTAGCTTAGTTGTCATAGTTTGTCAATAGATGGCGTTACGGGTAAGTTAAATCGCGCTATTTGTAATGTATTTTATGACCCGAGTCAATAGAATATTGTTTTAGAGTTTGTTTTTAAAGGAGATTAATAAAGTGGTTAGTGTTACAGTACTAGTGAGTGTTTTATTTGTGTTGGATCCCGATAGTGACCGCTTTTCACACATCTTATGCAAAAAATAAGCCCACTTACGAAAGTGGGCCGCATTTTTTACTACGCCCAGTGGCAGCGCTAAGGTTAAATTCGGCACTGTTCGCCTGGGTACATACTTTTTTTAAAAAAAATCTGAAATTTTATACTTTACTAAGGAACACTGGGTCATAATTCCATTGCCTCATACGGCATACCATACAACTCATATAAAGTTTCCCTACTCCTATATATTCTAACGGCTGTCCAATCACTAAATTTCAACATTATATGTATAACATTTTTTTGTTTTGAAAATATCATTGAATTCTTTTTAAAATTAATTATAAAACTTAAAGTATACATTATCTGGATCATCATTAATTAAATCTATCTTTAGGACTTTTTGAGTAACGTTACTCTTAAAGCAAATTATTTTATTAATTGTCATAGGTCTGCAGATGATCTTTTCCGACTTTTCTATATTTTATCAATTAAAGATTTTTTCTGACCACAGTGATCGGAACTTAAATTAAGGTCTGAGGCCAAATCATGTAAATAGTCTCTTTCTTCAATTCTCTTCAATCTGCCACCACTCAAATGGAGGCTTGGTCAAATAACGAACGTTTATCCAGGAACTGATGGTGTAATTAGTGTGGCAGATATCAAGACTTCCAATTGAATCATCCGCAGGGCTTTCGGCAAAATTTCCCCTCTACCGCAACCCGAAGATTGTTGTAAGACCTACTTTTAACACTTGGGCATGTTTATAAAATTATAATTTTATCTTAAAATGTATTATGTTGTGTTTAGCACCTAACTCCACCAGGTAAATTTCTAAGAAATTAATTAAATTTATAGGAAATTCATTGTTAACTGTAACACCGGTGTACCCGCGGTCGTTGAGGGATTAAGAATTTTTGATATTTAACTCGGGAGGAAAACAATAGATGTATCAAGAGTGCCCCCACTCTAAATTTTATAATTTAAATATATGAGAAAAGTAAACCCGGTAGAGCCGTTGTTCACAGTGCAATTTACTAAATAACCAACGAGACTGACAATCAACGGTTATCGGTAAAAGATCCTAAAAACTCTTAGGCTAAGACTGCGATGATCCTTGTGGCGATACTGTGTATAGCATGCGTCACTTAAAATCCTCCTCTAGTTTCGTCTAATCTAGTTATAGTTTCCCAACGTTTTACATATTGTGCATTTATAAATGTAATAATAATATAAACATAACGAATAAACCTTACTAAGAAGGGTAGATTTCAATGAAAAAAAAATTAAATTATTATACGTTTTTATTTTGGAATATTATTATTTACATGCGGGCACTGATCCATGCATTGAAGGAGGTGACACGAGCGTAGGCGGCGGGTAGGCCGACCTGGCAGCCAAAGATGGAGCCAAACGACGTTATTCCGATCTGGTGGGAATAATGTAAAAGTAAGTAACAATCTTAGCTGTATTCCATTCACTGCAGTCAATCTAACTGCGAACAATGTCTATGTGTTCTCTCTAACTAATATAAAAGTGCTCTGTATCATTTCCATTTATACTTATAGTTCAGTGTAACGAAAAACCGACACGAATGGAGGAAAACCAAACATAGGACCGACAGTTTTACATGCTACACTGCTGGCAGTTTGAGTTTTGGACAGAACGGCTATTTTTCATCGGAACCGTTAATTCCACCTAGGAACTCACGATTTACTAAATCTGTTTTTCGTAATTTGCCCTATATCAAGACTGAAACTTTACCAGCACACTAACATCAAAGGCTATAACTTATTCTTCAGTAGGAAAATAAAACTAAAGATAAAAAGTAAAGAGTAGGTTGGCACCGATTAGGAAACAATTGCACGTCAAACACCTTGGTGTTCTGACAGATATATAAGAATGAAAAAAAAACATTACCAATTGCCCGTTGGCAACGAGAGAGCCTCCAGAATCACCTCTGCAGGTGCTGCGGCGTTGACTACCGTCGGTACAGATAGTGGACGCAATGACATTCGATGGACCAAAAACGCGTTGGCAATCTGCATTCGAGATCACTTGGAGAGTAACATGGCGTAGTTGACCACTGCTGCCACCAGCTAGAAATTTTGAGTACCACGCTATTAAGATCCATATTTAAAACGGGACAAATATGTGTATTTTGGATACAAATAATTTTGAACTTACAATCAGCAGTCAATCCGTAGCCGGCAGCGACCGCATTCACTCCAACGAAGGCGTTGGTGCCAGAAGCCAGACCGATGTTGCGGATATTGTCTGGAAATCATAATGTCCTTGAAATACTCATTTTAAAGTATTACTTTTTCAACAAAACAAATTCCTAAATCAATGCTAGCGTAAACACTACAGGATAATTGTATCCTAAATACTTACTGGTGTAACCGACCCATGGGATAACAATTATGGCAATATCATTATTCAAATTGTCCATATTATAGTTAGCATGCATCTGAACGTTGGTTGAGGTGACGCGATGGCCTCCAGAGAGGAGATTGAGTGATGCAAAGACGACTTCCGCGGATCTGCCCTGCGACTGTCGGGTCCTCCAGCAATGAGCGGCGGTGACGACGCAGGTGGGGCTGACGAGAGAAGATCCACAGATAGACCGTGCACCAGTCGTAAGTGTAATAAGGAGACCACCCTGAAACATTTCAAAAATAAATTATGTTTTTAATCTTACCTAACCTCTTCTCTAAATCTTGATATGAAGCGCCCGAAAATAACTGTATAATCCGTATACTCTCGAGTATTCCAGTAAGTAAATTTAAATTATATTCTCCGTAAATGATGAAAGAAAAGAACTGCACAAATGAATTTGAAGAGGTACTTACCAGATGTGGATGGTTCCCTAAGGCAGACGCTGATCCTCCTACGATCCTGCCGCCATCGAAGTCCTGAGCCAACTCAGCCTGCCGAAGCCGTTCAGCCAATGGAATACCAATATTCTCATGGTAGTTCAATTCTATTGGCTCGTAGGGAACCCCCGCGTTGGCCACGGCGAGACTGACAAGTAGGAGGAACAGCTTCATTTTGCCTTGAGTTGTAAAAAGACTGTGATGCACCTGTATTTATAGTCATTTAGTATTGTACTTGCAGTGAGATTAGGAAAGTGAACCAAATTATGATAAGATAAATTAGCTACAACCGCTATGTAAAATGCTACTTAACTTATCTTTACATATAATAAAACTGTACAAACTGTAAAACTGTACTGTCTGTGTGAGGTCGAATGTCTGTACATAGAAAAAAAATGCTATAAACCGCGTCAAGTGGATGTAAGAAGAGAAATAGAACAAATCCAGGTTTTTTTTCAATTTTTTTGTTTCGCAGTCTGTCTGTGTGTTTGTACGGGCTAATCTCCGAAACTGTAAGACCGATTTAAACGAAATTTTCATCATTACATCCCTGGTCAACATTTTAGATACTTGTCATCCCGGAAAATTAAAGAGTTTCCGTGGGATAGTTAAAAAACTATAGTAACTTGTACAGCTTAGTACACAACAACTTATGCACCTAATTTAGTAAAATTTTGCATGCTGATACTTGATATTGCCGGTCAAACAACATGTTACTTTTTATCCCGGAGAAATGAACGGTTCCCGTGGGATAGATCTGTTTGTACTTTTCTATTATTTGAAAATATTTTAAAATTAAGGTCTCTTAACATTGACTTACTAGCACAGCGTGGAAGGGATATACAGGACGTAATTTAGAGTGTATGGAAAACTAGTAAGTCCTCCTAGATGATTTTGGCCACGGTGGCCGAGAGTTACACCGACGGCTTAACATGCTCTATGAGGCACGGTGGGGTGTAACAACAACGTCGTCAACTCCCCAACTCCGGAACTGAGTGATACTAAGAATTTCTTAACAGAAAAACTCAATAACTACTCAGGCCCGGCCTGAGACTCGAATCCAGGAAGAGGCAGTTAATTAGCAGGAAACTAGTACTTATTATGTATAATGTGTAATAGTTTGTTAGATTTACGCGAATATTTATTTCATTTTAAGTAAAACTATCTTTTCGGATTTTTTCACAGATTTATTTTGATTTTTGGTTCCCAACGTTTCGAATGCCGACAATATTTTAAGAATATCTAATAGGTAAATATGTGTTTTACGTACCGAAATATATTAGATTTGCTTTGCATCGGCTGGCACCGACTTCGAAAATATCTGAATAGGTATCTATTCTAAATGAAAACCGTCCTCCGTTTAGTTATTTTTTACATTTTAGTGCCTGGAGGTCGGTTTTTATGTTTTTTTTAAGATTTTATTTGTCCATTTTTAGTGTAGACGTAATAAGGAGGTAATTTGTTACAAGAAGTTTTTTAATAACATGTTCCATTAAGCAATTTGTTTAAAAAAATAATTTATTTGTTGATTAAAAAAACCGCTCGACCGATTTTGATAAAATTTATATGGGATCACCTGGGAAGTATACCCTTTGAAACAAAGAAAAATTTTTCCAAATCGGTTTAGGCGTCTTCGAGTAATCGGTGAACATACATAAAAAAAAAAGATTCCGACGAATTGAGAACTTCCTCCTTTTTTTGGGAAGTCGGTTAAAAATACTGTATAAAAATACAAAAACAGCACAAAAGTACCTTAACGGTAGTGATAGCCCACTGCCACTGGTAACGCGTTCGCTTGGGAAACCGAGTGATGGGGGTTCAAATCCCGGTCTCACATCTCTGATATTCTGATGTGCAAATCATTTTCCAACACGATTACCGCTTGACTTTCGGTGAAGTATCCTTCGCATCGTGTGGAAACCGGCATGGCTGAGAAAATCAAGCAAGTTTTCGAAGGCCATATGAAGGTCGTCAACCCGCATTATGCCAGCGTGGTGAACTAAGGCCTGATCCCCCTATTTTTAAGCGCGCGCAACAAAGACAACGTAAATAGAGCTGCATACATACATACATACTAAAGTATCTTACACTGTTTGTTAATTTTATACAATTTTTATAATTACTCGCATACCATTGGTTCCGTACCATCGAGTTTTATTCCTATTTGTAGGGCAGCCATTTTGAAAAATGATTAAAAGAATACTTGTCATTAATATCTATCTAGAGATAGTAGCAAATTCATCAAATGATAAATTTTTGCTTTCAAAGAGGCAATTAGAGTAAACAAGTAATCAAGTCTTGCTCCGCGTTATAATTATTTTAAAGTAAAATAATATATAACCTCCTACAAAATTATGTAATATTATTTTTTTTTTATTTATTCACACATCTTCTATATTTTGTTATTTTGCCTAATCACAATATTTGACGATACACTTGGCTCAGTTGGTAATGACCCTACTTGCTGTGCCAGCGGTCTCGGATTCGAGTCCCGAGAAGTCCTCGAGAATGAATGCCCTGGGGGCATTCATTTGTATGACGAGCACGAATGTTTGTACTCCAGTCATGGGTGTTTATGTTTATAATGTGTATGTATTTAAAGTTATATATGCTGCGTGTATCAACTACCTGGTATCCATAACACAAGCCTCGTAGCTTACCATGGAACTAGATGGTGCTGTGTGTTAATGTACCAACATATTTATTTATTTCTTCGGTTTTTAGTCTGTGTGCTTTGCTTTGTAGTGGCTAGCACCAACTTCGAATATATTTGATTAGGTATACATATAGTAAACGAAAACTACCAATCAGTTATTTTTTACTTTTTAGTGCTTTTTTTGAAGTCGGTTTTTGTTTTTTTGTTAAAAAGTTTTTATTTTTTTCCTTTTTAGTGTAGACATAGTAGTAGCAAAGTGAGAAGAAAGTATTTTAATAAAATATTTGCTTAAACCGTTTAAGTAACTTTGATGCTAATTTTAATATGAAGACTGACAAAGTAAAATTCACTTTAATAAGTAACACTAAAAATTCTGGCTTTAAAATCCGATTCTAACGTGTTATGCTTGTCAAATCAAACAAAATAAGCCCAAACTCAAAGTATCTACTATTAGCCGTTGAAGAGTTCCACCTATCTACCTTGGCCTTACGTCAGATCAGGTCAACGATACCGAAACACTGCACTATCAACAGAAATAGACACACTTGCAAAGTTTCAAGTCAATATGACAATTAGAAGTAGTTTAAATTCATCATTAGCTATTTTCCCGCCCTTAGAGGTGGTATTTTTTTTTGAAATTTAAATGGGACCAATCTGGAAGTATACCCTTTCAAACAAAATAAAAATTGTCTAAATCGGTTAACAAATGACGGAGTTCTGAGGTAACAAACATAAAAAAAACATACAGCGGAATTGAGAACCTCTTGCTTTTTGAGAAAGTCGGTTGAAAAGAGGAAAAATTTGTAAGTTTGATAATCTCTGAAAGTACTGATCCGAATAAAACAAGTCTTTCACTGTCTTAATCTAGGATTTTTATTGCAACCCCCCCAACGTGCGTTCACCTTGTCATGGTGGGGGGGCTCAGTAGAGTACTCGCGAAGCCAAGAAACGCACAGGGAGGTGGCCCGTTTTGGTGGGCGGTGGGAGGCGGCCTTCTTCGGAGGGCGGTGTACCATGTGGGTTGCTCCTGGTACTTCTCTGATAGCAGAGTGGACCGTGGAGCAACCCCATGGTTGTTGTGGTCTGCTTCGGCAGACCTGCCGTCGGGGCATCGTAGTTGAATGCGTAAGCGATCCTGCGACGCCCCATTAAGACGGGGGAAGGTTTTGTTGGGTTTTAGTGGGTGTTACTGGCTTCGCCGGTGAGTCCCACACTTCGTGCGTAAATGCATTTCCCAACGTTATAAAAAAAAAAGGATTTTTATTGCAATAAAAATGTGCGTACTGTCATCAGTAAATCAAAAAAAGAACACACTTTGAAGAAAAGTAATAAAACGTATGGCAAAACACACACCTAGGCACGCATCCGAGTGAAGCAAAGGCAAAGGAACCCTGTGGAATCCCACAACATGTTTGTCATTTCATGAATGCTATGTCATAGAAAAATATAAGTAACTAGCAGAACCCGCGGCTTCGCTCGCGCTAAAACTACAAAAAAACTAAAAAAGTAGGTTCTATACAAACTTTCATCCACTATTTTATCTCCTTATGGGATAAATTTCTAAGAATGCTTAAACACGTATTTATTTAATTGTATTGAAGAACATTTATACCAAGTTTAAAGCAATTCTGATCATAAATAATTTTTGTTTTATATTACAACGTGGTTTCCCGTAGAAATTAGATAATCTCCCGCGGTAAAAAATAAGCTATGTTACTCTCCAGCCCACTTACTATCTCCAAACAAAAATTCACGTCAATCCGTCACTCTATTTCGACGTGAAAGAAGGACAAACAAACAAACACACTTTCACATTTATAATATTAAGTATGGATGTGTAAATTGATAAAAATAACGTTGACGTCGTATATGTTAATGCTTAGATTAAAGTATTATTTTCATTTCGAATTCATTCGGTGATAATAATAATAATGTTCTCCTGAGTGATTCCCGCCGCGGTGGCCGATCTCACCGAGTCGGTCAACTCCGCGACTCCGCGGGAACATCAAGCACAAGTGCATGCGCTAACATAAGATGTGTTATAAAGCAATCACGACCTACGTTCCCGTTTTTTAGCTATTTCATCTTGTTTCTATCTTGTTGGTTCGCATTGTACGCTGTTGGGTTTTTGTTTTTGTAGTCAAGAGAATCAACATGTTAACCTTTAACCGGTTAATGAAGACGAAAGGTTTAGTACAAAGTAATAATAAAGGTTAACAGCTATTCTTAGAGAAAGGTTGGATTTCGGTTTTGATAAAGAAATAATAAAGCTCATATTACTATAGGTAGGTATAATACATTATCTACTGAAACTGATAATTTTCATTTCCTCGACGAGTGGGATTAAAAATTCATTATTTTATAATTTAAATTATCTGAAAAATGTAAAAAAAAAATCAATCCCGATATTTTCGGTTGATTGATGAATTTATGTACTAGATATGAAAATACAGTCGATAATGTTATCTCTATGTATATGAAGTAATTAGTTTTAGTTGATTGATGGGATATGCTTTTTGTGACTTTATATTCTTGTTCTGCCTTTAATATAAATTCTAAATAAAACCTAAGTAATAAATCTTTATATATATAATTCTGGTGTGCGTGTGTTCATAAATATTCTCCTCTTAAACGGCTTGATAGATATTTATGATTTTTTTTATAACAAATTATTTGGATGTTTGTCAGTCAGTCCGTGAGGAAGCTACGACCGGCTCGGAAAGCAGTTCTGCTGAGAACCGGCGAGAAACTCAATAGTTGCTCTTTTAAATATAGATATTACATTTATTTTATTAACATAACATTATAGATAGTCCGCATATGAGTCAATATCACTCCATTCTACACATTTTCATCTGAACAAGAAACTCTTGAACAGTATAATACGCTTTGCTCAAAATAAAATATTTTTAATTTTATCTTAGAATTCTTGAAAGGGTAAATCTAGGACATTTTGTGGAATTTATATACGTATACTCAGGCCCATGAAGAATTTATTCACCTTTTTGAGACGAAATCTAGGCGTAACAAGCTTATTTCTATTCCTAGTGTTTATTGTGTGTCTATCAATGTTTTTAACATAATTGTGCCAGCCCATACAAAGCAAAGCACACCGACTTCGAAAATATTTGATTAGGTATGTATAGTAAATGAATAATACCAATCAGTTATTTTTTACTTTTTAGTGCTTTTGTTTGAAGTCGGTTTTTATTTATAATTTAAAATAATGTGGAGAAGAGACAAATAATACGGAGCAAGACTTGTTTACTCTAATTGACGCTTTAATGTCCAAAATATATCATTTGATGAGTTTGATCTCTAGATATTAATGACAAGAAATTGCTTTTTTTTTGTCATTCTTATAAATAGGTTCTATACAAATAATACACATTTAGTAGTAATTTTCTGTTAATTAACTGCCTCATCCTGAGTTCGAGTCTCGGGCTGGGCCTAGTTTAACAATTGAATTTGTGTTAAGAAATTCTTAGTATCTCAAGTCACACTCAGGTCGGGGATTTGGGAAGTTGGCGGTGTTCCACGCCCCGTGCCTCGGACAGTTAAGCTGTTGATCTTACATCTAATCTCTCACCGGTCGTGTCGAAATATTTTTCCATCATACTTTTGAAAGAGAAAGCAACGTAGAATACACTTGTGTCTGCGCATACACTTGTGCACTACAATATCTTCTGCGCAGATGGTTAGTCTCAGTGAGATTGGCCAACGTGGGCAAAATCAGTCAGAAGGACTTACTTTAAATAACGATGAGAAAGATTTCTCAGGAGCAATCGATACCCTTTCACGCTGTGCTAGGTAGTCAATGTTAAGAGACCCTTTAATTACGTATATCTTCAATTCATTAATTTTAAACTATCTATACATATAAAACTATTAAACTAATAATTATTACTATTGATTATTTTATTATTAAAGTAATAATAATAATCTTCTCTTCATTTTAGCTTTTCAATTAACTTATTAACTTAATTAAATTAACTGTTTTTTTTCACTGTCACTGCTTAATTTATGAATTATTTTTAATCGCTTCGCTCGGGTTCGTCTTTAGGTTCATTCCGCATACAAACTTTCATTCCCATTTTCATCCCCTTAAGGGATGACTTCCGGGATAAAAAGTATCCTGTCTTTCCCAGGGTGTTAAACTATCTTCTTACCAAATTTCATTTCAATCGGTTTAGTGGATCCAGAGATTACCCCCTACAACGTCGCAAATTTACAAACTCATAATTCACAAACTTTACCTCTTTATATACCTACTACTTATTTCTACATATGTAATACTTCACTGTATGTTTCCCAAATATATTCAAAAATAAAATAAAAATATAATAAAACTGTAGAGTTTAAATGTGTGTACATAAAAAAAATGCTAAAATCCGAGTCAGGGGTCATGTAAGAGAAATAGAACAAATACAGATTTTTTTCAAACTTTTGGTTTCTCTGTCTGTTTGTCTGTTTGTGCGGGCTAATTTTAGAAACCTTTAAACTGATTTAAATGAAATTTTGCA